GGTGGACAAGACGAGAGAAGCGAGGTTGATATGGTTCGGACATGGGAAGAGGAGATACACAGATACCCTAGTGATGAGAAGGTGTGAGAGGTTGACTATGGTGAATCCAAGGGGAAGTAGAGGTATTGGGGAGAGGTGATCAGGCAGGAAATGACACATCTTCCAATCTCTAAGGACAAGAGCCTTGATAGAAATGTGTGGAGGTCGAGGATTAGGGTAGTAAGTTTGTGAGTAGTCGAGTGTTTTTTTCTTTCAAACCTGTATTTTTCTTTCTTACCTATTGTTTCGTTTACTTCGGTTCTATTATTTTTCTAGCTGCTGTAACTGCTTCTCTTTCTATAGTTCTTTGCCATTACTATTGTGATTATGCTTTTCTTGATCCGAGAGTCCATCGGAAATAACCTCTCTACCTTTTACATAGTAAGATCTGCGTACATACCACCCTCCTCAAACCCCACTTGTGAAAATACACGGGTTTGCTGTTGTTATTAGCATATAATTAATTATTATAGCGGAGAGCTAGTCCATTACTGTTTTTAATGCTCAGGAATATGTTCATTTGCTAATAGGGGTGGCAAAATGGTTAAATCAAAACAGTTAACCACCCATATTATCCACTAAAAAATGGGTAGGATAATGAACTTTTTAAAAACGGGTCAAATATGGATAATAGCCATATTATCCATTTAGAAAATGGATAACCAATGAATAACCAAGGGATAACCAATGGGTCTAACTTTTTCATTTGTAAAGCCTCAAATTGGGGGTTCCTCAAGTTAGGGAAACTAAGAATTCTCCCAAAAGTGATCATATACAAGAAGTCATGGATAATATTGTTAACCCATATTATCCGCTGGTTAATCCGTTTTTTATCCGTATTAAATATGGGTCGGGTCGGATAATTGATCCATTTTTTCATTTTCCGTTTTCGACCCGAACTATATCCGACCGACCCGCCCGTTTGCCACTCCTATGCTAATATGATGGTCGGCCATAGTTCAATAAAGATATAGCAGTGCTATGGCTGTCCAACGGGACGGGACGGGACGACATTTAAGCGGGACGGTGGCGGGACGGGACGAAACGGGACGGGACAAACGGGACAAAATGGTTGTCCCACCCCGTCCCGCTAACAAACGGGATGAGACGGGATGGGACGGGACGGAACGGGACGGGTTCGTGGGCCTTAAGTGTATTTTTTTAATAAAAAAACGTCTAGTTTTTTGAAAATTACTATGTTTTTAAAGTTTGCAACGGCTAGATTTTTGACTTATTTAATAAACTTAAATGTTACTATGTTAAAACGAANAAAGGTTTTGCTCTTCCAGAAACAGTAAGTACAAATACAGAAAATAAATTATTAAATTCCTTAAGCTTGTTATTTACACTGTATTTGTAAAATAAATTATGGAAATATAAATGAATATAAACAGTAATGAATATAAACAGAAATGACATAAACCAATTCGAGCCCACTGAATTCACAGTGTTTCCTTAAGGAATTTAATCCCCTCCTAGTACCCAAGGTTATGGATTATTTCCTCCCAGGATAGAACGAATTACACACTGGTGTAGTGGTACTTCAAAACCCAGTGTTTCAGCGAACACAAAGTTCGGTAGCAAATCACACTTACTTTTTGCTTTGTTTTGATGCTAAAAGTATGCAGAAGAAGGAGAGGAAACTCAGAAAATTGTAGTTAAAATTCTGAGCAGAATAGTGTTGTATTTATAGCCAAAGTTGGGTCTCTTCAGAATGGCTGTTTATGCAAAACGCCCACAACATAAATGGCCATTTACTCAATAATAAAGAGGGAAAATAAAGAGGGAAAATTGAAGAGGGTAGTTACTTTTCTGTTACCAAAACAGAAAAACGGATTGGATTTAATATTAATATTTAATATTAATATTTTGTTATTAAAACAAATACTTAATAACATTTTACTATTAACAAATAAATTTGGTCCAAAAAGTTAATCAATCAATCGATCATTTGACCAAATCCGAATCCGAATCCGAATCCGAATCCGAATCCCAATCCCAATCCGAATTCGAAGCCGAAGCCGAAGCCGAAGCCGAAGCCGAAGCCGAAGCCGAAGCCGAGCCGAGCGAGCGACGACGACGACGGCGCGAGGCTTGCCTTCTTCTCAACTCTTTAAGAGCTAGAAGAAGAGCAATTGCTTATATACCCATAAAAAACCTCTTCCTCTTCCAATATGGGACAATGCCCATTTGCCAAGGGAGGGGGAACTTAAAATTTCACTCAAAAATTTTATTTCCCTCCATTTCCCATTCACCCTCTTTTAAGTATTTAATATATTAATTAAATACCTTAAAAACCCAATATACGAAACCAAAAAAAAGTCTATTACGTAATTATTTGCTCGATAGACGATAGGCTTGGGCCAGGACGAAATTAACGGGACGGGACGAAATTAACGGGACGGGACGAAATTAACGAGACGGGACGGGACGGGACGATATTTAAGCGGGACGGTGGCGGGACGGGACGTAACGAGACGGAACAAACGGGACGAAACGGTCGTCCCGTCCCGTCCCGCTTCGTCCCATCCCGTCCCGCTAACAAACGGGATGGGACGGGATGGGACGGGACGGAACGGGACGGGTTCGTGGGCCTTAAGTGTATTTTTTTTTATAAAAAAACGTCTAGTTTTTTGAAAATTACTATGTTTTTAAAGTTTGCAACGGCTAGATTTTTGACTTATTTAATAAACTTAAATGTTACTATGTTAGTATGTTAAAACGAAAATTAGAAAACTAAGTAAAGAATTATAAAATATTAAAACAAAAGACTTGTAATGAAATATTCTAGTAAATATAAATTTATAATAGAGTTATAATTTATTTAATATAATTTTAAAGTATTAACTATTAAGTAACTAAGACAATTCATAAAAATAATTCATAGCTTAGAGCCTTTTATTTTATTAATAGAACTTTCAAATCTCAAATACAAATATAATTCTTTTGAAGAGCACCTAATCTACGCAGCCACCTTCTAGGAAGGGTTCTGTTTGAACTAGGCCTCTTAGTAGCCAATTACAAATTATCATACTAATATTTGTAAGCTCCTATATAGCTTCTTTGTAACTTATCAATAATATCTCTTGGACATTCTACTGGAATTGGCAATGTTGATTGATGTTCCATGAGCTCCATGCCGTCATCGCTCCCAGTGGTAAGTATCTCATTGTATTCTTCTTCTTCCCTAGTGGTTAGTTTTTCAAAACCAAGATTTCTTCTTTCTGAATTAATCCAATCTCTGAATAAGACGGAAATCTCTAGACTGTCCTCCGCTAATGAATGTCTATGATCTCCAATTTGAAATCTTGCCGCGCTAAAAGCACTCTCCGATGCTACTGATGATGCTTGAATAGCCAGGATATCTCGGGCCATAATTAAAAGTGTTGGAAAAGCCTTGCCACGCTCCCTCCACCATGACAAAAGTTGTTCCTTGCCTTCTTCGTCTTTAATATTTTCCAATCCTTGATTCAGATAAGAATCAAGTTCATCATCAATAGAGTAATCAAAACCTGTTGTATCATCCATATCTTCCCATAAAACTTCTGCTCCAGACTTAGAAGTAGAAGGAGCAGTTTCAGTACTAGTTGTATCCATAGATTTATATTTATCAAACATTGATCTAGCATAAGAATATATGCTAGCTTGGCAGTTTTCGAGAGATGGTTGTTCATTTTCTTGAATTTCTAAATTCTCATAAATTTTACGAACAAGTCCCTTTGCACCTCTTAGTTTTAAAAGATGGGTTAAGTAGTGTAGAAATTAAATAAACTTCGGGAATAGGGAAAAAATACTTTTTAAATTTTAAAAT